GCGGGAGGGTGGGGGGCAGTGGGAATAGAGGGAAAACGGGTCGTTTTGGGTTTTTTTCCCAGGAAAGCGCCGTTCGGTGCGATGGCGGGGAGAGGAGTTACCGGCGAGGAGCTGTCCTGTGTGATTCCCTCGGCGTGCTCGGCTTCCAGCCCGGGAATTGGCATCGGGGAATTGTGGTTGGAAAAGACCTTCTGAGATCAGCGGGTCCCAACAACTTAACCCAGCCCTGCCAAGTCCAACCGCTAACCCGTGTCCCCAGGCACCACCTCTGCACGGCTTTTCAGCCCCCAACAGGGATGGCGGCTCCTCCACCCCCTGGGACAGGGTCTGGCGACCCTTTGGGGAGGAAATGATTCCCAACACCCAGCCTAAACCTCTCCTTGAGGCCCTTTCCTCTTGTTCTCCCACTTGTTAGCCCAAGAAAAGAAGCTCAGGGAGCAGGAAGGTCTCCCCTCAGCCTCCTGTTCCCTGAGCAACCCCTGCGCCCCTGGTTCAGCTGCTCCTGGTGAGGTGCAAAGAACAGGGTGTCAGGGGCTCGTTTCCAGCCCCACAAGCCCTGGAATCTGCCACGAGGCAGTTTGGGGTTGACCTGAGACACCCCTGGTTTTCACTCGGTGTGTTTTTGTTGCGTATCCCCGAGATGTCAATGGTTTTGCTGCAAACACCCAAGCTAGGCCTCAGCGTGCCATGCCGGCCTGCTTGGTTAAAACGCCTCTTTATTGTCACAGATTCACTCTGGTAAAAGAAAAGATGGTGCCTACTTAAAAACGTCGATTTTCGTGTTAATACATACTGCTGTTTTCTGGGTGCTTCACAAAAATCTGGCTCTGGGCAGGCTAAAGCAGCCTGCCAGCCCGAGCAGTGGGCCTGTTATCCTCTGCATCCAACACAGGAGGGCAGATGACTGGAAAAGACAGCTTTAAAATCCAGATATGGGTCTAAAGGAAAAAAAAACAAACCAACCACAACAAACTACATATGAATGAAAATGAAGTCATGCTGCTAAAGGTTTAGCTAACTGGATGCAGCAATCAACAGTTCATTTAAAATGCTCCATTGCAGCAGGCTTTCCTGATGTATCCAGAGTGGCTGCAGGCAGCTGGCCAGCCTGTTTTCAGCAAAAAAAAGTGTAGGTGTCACTGGATGTCACGTGAAATCACGGAAGGTTTGCCAGGTGTGAATACCTGCCTGCTCTACAGCCACACAGTCACAGGCAAACACGTCTTGTTCACCAATGGCAAGGGAAATACAGGAAGTCTTGGAAGGTTTCCTTTAAGCTAACAGCTGGAATTGAAATCTTTGCAGGGTAATGAAAAATAAGGTTGGTTTTTTATCTCAGTAGATGGTGGGATTGATGAAAAATGCTGAAAATATAATAATGGCCTGGCCAGAAGACTGAAAAACCTGCAAAACATTAGACTCATTCTGCCATATCTTCAACAATCAGGCTCATCCAAAAGGGCTCCTGATAAACTTGCTGTGTGCCTAAACTGTCACAAATCCACCCCAAATCCAGAGTCCTGATGATGTCTTTTTTGCACTCCTATTTGCTTCCAAGGAAAATGCATCTCTGATCTCCTGAAGCCTGAAGCTTCCCAAAAGGAGGGTTGGCTTCCCTCCGTTTTTGAGGAGAGAGAGCACATTTATGTCAGGTGTTGTGTCATTCTCCATTCACACACTGGCAGAGCAGAAGGAGTGGTCTCAAGTTTTCCACTAACACAGTTTCTGGCTTGAAGCAGAGATAAAGTTTACATTACGGCTCTTAAATAAAGGATTTATAGCATTTGACACTTCCCCAAGGTGGAAAGGGAGATGCCCAGGATCTCCTCTCCTGCAGCCTTCCCACTGCTCTAACAGCTTCTATTTGCACATCAGAGCTTCTGGCTGAGACTTCACAAGGAGACATTTGACACCTGACCTTTAAGAAGGGCTGTAAAATGTCCTGTTGCATGAAAGCAGTGCCACTGTCCTGCAGTCTTTGAGAAGTTCTGGTCAGCTGGGACATAGGTGGGGAGTGGTGCTGGTGTTTCCATTCCTACAGAACTCAAGGGAATGGTGTTCCCAGGTTCTGCACACCAAGTTCCTGACCGAGTCAGGTGTCTGATGGTAGGGCAAGAATTTCCCAGTCATCCTTCCACCTCAAGCTGTGATCTTGTCTAATTTTATAAGCAAAACAGCCAAGTCTGGTCAGAGCTGGGATGGGAAACCTCCAAGGAAAACTGAAGTGCTCCAGGAAGTGGTGATTCAGCTCCTGGCATTCTTCCCTCCATCTGAGTAAATAGTGAACCAACCTCTAACCATGCTGGTGCAGGAAGAAACATTGTACTGCTGCTGCTGGAAGATGCAAATCCAAAGGAGTCAGCAAAAAGGGTCACTGAAGAGCCCAAGATGCAGTTGGCAAATGTGAGGTTGCTCATCATTGAGCCCCAGAGCGATATGAATGGGCAAAGATCTTGTTACACCTACTTAAAAGTGCCTCTCACTGGTTAAACTGAACAGTGTCCCCTCTGAACTCTGTTATTTGCTGTGTTTGCCACCAAAACCATGCCCTTCAGCAGCAGAGAAGTACAAGTGGATTTCTAACCAAGCTTTAAAAGTTGACTTATTTTATTTTATTTTATTTTATTTTACTTTATTTGCTGTTTGTTTCTTGTTTTTTGTTTTGTTTTTGGTTGTTTGTTGTTTTTTTTTTCCTGGGGGGTTGATTTTTGGTTGGTTGGTTGTTTTTTTTTTATTATTATTTTTTAACAAAAGGCTTTTTAAAGGTATCTAATGCTCCAAACCAACAGAGTTGTCTGCTCAAGACTGGAAATGAAAAACAGGAAAGCAGAATGCCCCAGGCCTGGAAACTTCTTGAATGACACAACTTGAACATCAGGACTACATCTCCCAGCAGTGGCTGAGCACAAAGGAGAATGGGAAGCACCACGGGAGGTGTTTGTCAGCCAAGAAATCTGCAATTCCTGTGACTCCCACTGTTTCCAAATGGGAATGTTCAGTCCCTTTTCCTGCCAGGGATGGACAGCTCTTTCAGGCACCAATCCCCAGCTTTCCCCCTGGCTGCACTCTGGGTACTGTTCCCATTGGCAAAAGGCAGCAGCACCTTCCACCCAGAGGATTTTTTTGCATTTTGCTGGTGAATTTTGCACAGCTGAGGAAAAATCTACACCTGACACTGGATTTTGCCATCATCCCAAGGGACTGCCTACTCCATGGGGAAGATTAGCACAGCTTTGGGTGTCCAGCACCTCCAGGGCTGTGAGCAGTGAGAACATCAGGTTTTTAACAACATACAGGGAATATGAAAGGGCTGTTTTATTGAATAGATGCAAATCTGTGACTGCTTCATCACAGACCAAGTGTAACTACTGATGTCTACAGGCAGCACTAGATCTACAACTACCTGAAAGGAGGTGGTAGTGAGGTGGGAGCTGGTCTCTTTTCCCAAGTGATAGGACAAGAGGAAACAGCCTCAAGTTGATCCAGGGAAAGTTTAGATTGGATATTAGGAAAAAACTACTCACTGAGAGGGTTGCCAAGCATTGGAACAGGCTGCCCAGGGAAGTGGTTGTGTCACCATCCCTGGGGTTATTTAAAATACATGTAGACATGGCACTTAGGGACATAGTTCAGTGGTGGGCTTGGCACTGCTGGGTTAATGGTTGAACTTGGTGATCTTAAAGGTCTTTTCCAACCAAAACAATTCCATAAATCTGTTCTGGGATTGAATGCTGCAGAGAACATCAGGACACACTCACAGAGCTTAAAGCTGAGCTTCACTCATTTGTTGTACCAAACAAATAGTGTGGGACTGGATGGAGTGACCTTCACACATCCCAAGGTCAACATTGAATGGGCTGTTTCCAAAGCCCTTCTGTAACACTGACAGTTTCCTTAGACTTGCTCTTTCTTATGGAGCTCACCAGCAACTGGCAGCAGAGAGAGTCAAATTCCAGCCTTGGCATTGACTGCCTAGCTTTGGGAAAACCCTTTTGGCTCTCCATGACCTTGTCTATTGTACCTCAACTACAGCACCTTCACAAGGGACTTCACCTTCACTCAGCTGCCATGGAGCCAGAAGCCACAGTTTGCTGAAGTGAAGTCTCTGGACCAAAGGAGTGACAAAAGTTTCTGCTTGATTTTTGTGTTGAAGATGATTTTCTTTTCTTTTTATTGCAAATGTACACAATTACACTACTGATAATGCACAGAAATTTTAAAAGTTATTGTTTGCTAAAATTTCCTGATTACAAAACTTCACAAAATTTGTTACAGCTAAAAAAAAACCCACCTTCAAGAGTGTATAAATATAATTTGGAGCATAAATAACAGTAACAAAATAAACAGTTGCATGTATTAAATAAATTAATTATAAATATTGCATTGGCAATGAAGTGCTAGGTCAGAACACCAGTATTTCCAGTTGAGCTTTCTTTTGGTATAGAAATCTCTATTACAAATGAACTTTTGGAAACTAGTAGAATCCCTGGAACCCTTTTCTCACATGGGTTTGGTTTTTTGTTTGTTTGTTTGTTCTCCTTTGATTTCACCTGGGTTATTCCTTCCTCAAATGGTTACAGTGGGAGAGCAGAACTGAAGACATCAGACATCCATGTTTTGGCCACGAGATGCAGATTATCTGGGGCATTGAAGTAATGAAATTGTCTCCACTGATTCCCTGGGGTGCAGAATCAAGCCTGGAAGGGACTTGAAAGAGTTGCTGGTGGTTAAAGGTTAAACACAAAAACCTGTTCTGCAATTGATTTGACCTATACATCATCCATCTTCAGTCTTTCTGTTTGCTAACAACATGCATCCTTATGTACAACAGAACCTTAACTTAAAGACTAATTTGAACTGCTCATTCCCAACATGATGCCCATCATTGCTAATTCTTTGCACTCTTTCCAACCACACACTGAATTCTGACTAGTGGTAATGAGAACTCTCTGCTGGATGATGCTGATCCCACAGTGAACAGAAATTACCCTTTAAAAGAAATCAAAGATCCAGTTTTCCAAAGTACCCTTTAGTAATAAGGGAAGGAAGAAATTTTTCCCTTTGTTCCCTTGTTTCCTAAGGGAAGAAAAAGCACAATATACAAGCAGAATTGTTTCTTCAGTGGTCGTTTCCATCAGAAAATTTTCCCAGAATGCTGTCAGCAGCTCTTCGAGGAACTGCATCAACTCTAGTTTGTGTAACCGTATTTTCTAGGTTTCCCTTCATCGTGTTGTGCTACAAATGTTTGTCTTTCAGGCCCCTGAAGCCAAGAGATCACTAACCTCCCTGTGACTGGAAAAAAAAAAAAAAAAAGGTTTTCTGCATCTGCTGCTATGAGCAAAATTAACAGGTAATGAATATGTGGCAATGAAGTTGATGTAGACAATTTAGCATTATTTTCTCATCACCACGGAAATTGAGAAACTCTGATGAAGCCATTCAGCTTTTCTTATTTAATCCTTTTCCAAATAAACCTATAGATAGGCAATTCCTTAGACTCTAGAATAGCCTCTCACCCCTTACAGGTACAACACATGGCAAGAAAAAGGCTGGCTCACACCAAAATATACAAAACCAGTTTGAAGTATCACTACACGAGGAGCTAAAAAACCCTCCAGTATTCTGCAATATTTCTTTCCAAACAGGTTGTGTCTGATCACAGTCATTTCTGAAAGCTGGGGCTCTTCACTGGCGAGAGCTTGGAGGTGATGCCAAAGGGGTCCATGCTGTCTGTTTCCAGAGGTGAGGAGTAGACCTCTGGCTCAAAGGCCTGGCTGTAATCACCATATTCCCCAAAGTCTGTTGACTCCACAGGCACAGTGTTGATCATAGGCAAGAAGTGAGACAGTGGGAGAAAATCTTTTCCTTTGAACTGCTGTCTCTGCTTGGCGCTACTCAAAGACACTGATATTCCATGTTTTTTGGATTTATAGACATTGTAGCCATCTGGACGAATCTCCTCTTCAAAGGAACAATCCTCAGTGGAATACCTGAGCTGAGGAGGAAGGAGTAGCAAGAATTACAAATACACCCATCAGGCTCATTGCCTTCACCACGACATGAAGCTTTGATGCAACCAGCCCTTTTTCCACCTCTGCTGTCACTGAGGGTGCCCCTCTGGCTTGTCACTGGTGCCCCAGTTTGTTGCACCTTGCAGACCCCACTGCCAGATCCATGCTGGTGAGCCTCCTGCTGCCTCTCTGCCTGGCTGCTGCAGGGATGCAGGTGAGACCCATTGCTCTAGTGGTGGTTCTTTCAGTGGTGGACAACAACCACCAAGATGAAGTACCCTGAATGGTCAGGCAGTTGGATGAGATGATTGTTGTAGGTCCATTCCAACTGAAATATTATTAATTTTCTATTCTATTCTATTCCATTCCATTCCATTCCATTCCATTCCATCCCACCAGAGCTCCCCACACTGCACATACTATGCATTTTGGGTCATGAGGCCCCTAAAAGACCTAATCCAGAACTCCTAAAGTTAATGCACATCCATCACATCAAATAAGCTTTGAATCCTGGGTGTGTCCTTCTCCACAGCTACCACGCTCATCCCGTCCTCAGCACAGGGAAAAAGAATCTCAGATGACAGTGCTCATTTAGATAAAACATCCCTAATTGCTGACAGTACTTTGCTGTGGTCATGAGACCTAATCCAAGAGTCCTAAGGTATAAATTCCTAGCTGTGTTAGAGATTTGCCTGCATAAGGTCTTCAGGATCAGGTCTGTAGAAGGGCAGCACTGTCAAAGACAGTGGCTCTGCAAGCATGGCCAGTCATTAAAGCAGCACTAAAAAGGTAATTGCCTTGTTGTTGTGGTTTTTTTACTCAGCATTTGCTGAAATTACAAAAGACCAGTTAACACAGTATTATTTACTCACTGGTTGTTATTTAGAACTGGCAAATTAATAACAACACAAGTTAAGATTTGGTATAGAGGAAGGTATTTTCCTAGGAATGAATTGGCAGAATTACATCTGTGATGTACTGTGCAGATAGTACATTAAGAGTTTGTATCACCAGCTCAGACCTTTCCAGATCCTTACACAAACACTGACATCTCTTACAACTCTGGTGCTATTTCAGGCTCAGCCACTACAGGTGATTGAACTTGAGGTCAATAAAAGACAGTTGCCAATTATGTTTCAGTCTGCAGTAATAAAAGTGTCCTTACATGAATGCTCTGCCTGTCTGAATAGAGAGCATGCTTGGTACTTTGCAGTCCTTTTTCAAACACCCTCAGTAAGACTAGAGTACAATCAAGCACATCCATTTGGTTGCCATCTAAAAGCCCTTTTTTAACTAATCAAGTAATTTTAAGAAAGGCGTTTTCTCCAAATAAACTTACACAATATTTATCCTTCTACACACATTGTGCCTCTGAAAAATATATGTCTATGATACAGATTTATGGCTGAATTACAAGCTGTCTTTATTTCCAGGAGTGTTTAGCCTGACTAACAAGGATGATGAAATAAAATAGCTTCTTGAGCAAGTGCACATTACAAATAGCAGTTATTGATTGAGCCCTGCATGTCTCAACTGTGTCATTGCCTCCTCATTTTATCTGGATTGTCTCTAGTGTATTTTTTTAAACAAGTACCAAACACACTTGAAGTATTTTCAGATGATTATTTTCACAGGAGGATTTTACACTGTGTCAGTATATTCAGCAGCTACGTGACTTCCCCCTAAACCACTGACTCTGCCACACTGCACACTGAAAAATCAACCTTAGTCATGGGTTTTCCAGTGTTAAAAAAAGGCAAGTTTCAGGAGTGCAAGTGGTTGCCCAGTTCAGTTCCCAGACACTGCATTTGCCCTTTTGTTCTTCCACTCCTCAGCGTTGTGCTGATAAGGCAGAGAATTGCCTTGCAGAGCTGCCTGCCCAGGCTGCAGGGGGAGGTGGTGCCAGGTGCCCATAACACAGAGATGGGACAGCGTGGGGACATGCCATGGGGCTTTCAGAAATAACATCACCTGCAATTAATCCTATACATGAGCAAACAGTCTCAGTCAAGGCACGGCTTTAACATGGTGTTATACAAAAGCTGTTCCAAAATGCTGTGACTGCTCAAGTCCAGCCAGCAGCTCCGATGGGAGCAGGATCCAGGGTCTGCTTTGGATATCCATGTAAAGATCAAGCTAACAACTGACCTGCTGCATCACCTGAGCCTACACACCTGACCATCAGCTGGTTCTAACTGAGAAAAGCAAGGCAATTCAGAAGGAAAGGCTTAACCCTATGTTACATGTGCATTCAAAAACATCTCTTCATCAGTCTTGCTCTTACTAAAGATACTGGGAGTTTTGAGAACAGGCCAAGTCCTTGTGTGACTTAAACCAGCAGAAATGTTGCCGGTGCAATCAAAGCAGAGTGGAGCTGTATCTTTACTAGGGCACAATAAAAAAGTCATTGCTCTGTGAAACTCGGGCTCCTGTAAAGCAGGTACACACAGACTGCATCTGAATCCTGCCCTTTGTGGGCTAAAGTGGGCAATTCGTGCAGCTTAAAAAGCAAGTTGTATCACCCAGAGCAGCCAGCTGGTGTGCTGACACACTGAGGGAACAAGCACGACCTGGCCAAGTGGTGTCAGCAGGTGACATGGCTCCTGGAGCCCCCCAGGTGTGCTGCTGTCACAGGGCAGCGAGGCAAGGGAGAAGGGTCCTTCTTTCCCAAGAAATCTCCTTTGATCCTACTTCAGACCCAGCAACCCAGTGATCCTGGGATGTGGGTACCCCTGCCTGCATCTCCTTTCCAAAGGAATTACCTTGTTCTTTGTTTTGCTCGGGGTTTTGTTTGTTTATTTCTTTCTTTTCTTTTCTTTTTGGTTGTGTTTGTTTGAGTTGTTGTTTTTTTTTCAGAATACCTGCCCTGAAATGATTCGGATTAGACGGTGTGATTTAACCTCTTCCTGCACCAGAAACAGCCACCCACTGCTGAAGCTTTTCAAATAGAAACCCAGTTTTGCTCGGGGCTGTATCTTGGCGGGGGACACGCAGCACATCCTTTGCATCCTAAATGATGTTCCTTGATGAATTCTAATTAAACCTGACGGCCTCGCGGGCAGTAACAGTGACGAGAACCACCGTTGGGGGCCGAAAGCTTTGTTAACTCATTAGCAAAAGAAAGAAATACGTGGCTATAGAGATTTTTGCCTGCCCTTTGGTCTCGGCTGCCGGGCTGGGAATGTCCCTCGGGAAAGGCGAGCCCGGGGCAGAACCGGCGGGG